GCTATTTCTACCTGTGAAGGTGTGCCCACACGCTATTTCTACCTGTGAAGGTGTGCCCACACGCTATTTCTACCTGTGAAGGTGTGCCCACCTGCTATTTTTATCAGGAAAGCAGCATCACAGTTTATTGCATTCATGACTTGGTACAATAAAACCTCAAATAACAGAACCCACCTAACGCAAATTTTCAATTAACTGGTATTTTCCCCATTGAAGTTGACCTTTAGGGGAAAAGGGAAATAGTAACTGTTTCAGGAATATATTTAATTACTTTTAAAGTGTTCTATTATGATATAAAATCATGATATATATTAATTAAAAATATGACTAAAGCATGGCTTCTGTTTGTTAACCGTTTCTTCCCATCCCTCAGGGTTCTGAATAAGGGAACACACACACGCAGATCATAATTAATGAAAATCAGAGTATTTCTTAATTAACAGTAAGAACACTCCTGTAACCCCTGAAAGGTACACCTTCTGATAAATAGTGGAGACTCTTACAAACTGGTGATTAGTAGACTTTCTTTCACACAAATTGAAGAGAATAGGGCTGAAATGCAAACTGCCCGATTTGCCCACCCAGAGACCTGATGAAAAGATGGGGTGCTGGCCCTCTCTACTCATAAGCAGGGAAGGCACTGGCCAGATATATAGACTCCAGGTAATAGGGCTTATTGCCTATAAGCAGAAAGAGAACCCCAAATAGATGGGGTTCCAGTATTATATGCACCAATGAATATTAGGCTGCAGTTGATTAGAGTATGAAAGGCAGGGTGCTGGAAGTGGAGATGGGAGGTCTTACCTACAAAATTTCACCAAGCACAGAAGGAAAAGACAGGCTGCCAGGCAAGAGTACAGGAGGTGCTCACTGTGCCACTGGAAGCATAGAAGGTCCATTCTTATAGAATGTGGTATCAATGTCTCCTGAGGAGTGCACAGCAGCAGCAGAGAATCATAAAGGTTTCTTTCTCTCTCTCTTTTTCTTTATAAATTTTATTTTATTTTATTTATTTTATTTTTTATTTTTTGGCCAGGGCTGGGTTTGAACCTGCCACCTCTGGCTATGGGGTGAGTGCCCTACCCTTTTGAGCCATAGGCGCTGCCCACCATAAAGGTTTCTTAGGACACATACAAGCCAGTAATAGCTTTACTGCCCTAACCAAGTCATTTCATCCTTGTTAGCCCCAATTTCCTTGGTTAGACTACTGTTTACCTCCTCAGCAATCACTGTCTTCTACCTTTTTAGCAATAGACCCCTAAATGGACAGGAAAAGGTGTATGCTCAGATTAAAATAAACAAATAAATGAAGCGCATCTCCCTGCCTTCCTTGCAGATGGCAGTGTGCAATGGGGAATGTTTTTAAATAAAAGTGACTCAGTTGGGAAAGATACTCTTTCTCCCTTCTCCCTCCCCCTCCTCAGTGTGAGAGAGCTGGAACTCCTGCAGCTGTGCGCTTGCCATGAGGTCACACCAAGGATGGAAAACACCCGCTAAAAATGATAAAGCAGTGCTTGCTTTGGCAGCACATGTACTAAAAATTGTAACAATACAGAGAGTAACATGGCCCCTGTGCAAGGATGACATGCAAATTCTTGAAGCGTTCCGTATTTCATGGGGAAAAAAAGACGATGAAGAAAGAAAAGTGTGGGTTCCTAATGTTGAGGGGCTACCACAGTAGCCCTGCACTCTGGGGCTTCCTTTTCATATAAGATAATCCTGGGGGTTTTTTGTTTGTTTGTTTGTTTTTGATTTGGAGATGGAATCTCACTGTGTAGCCCCGGGTTAGAAAGCCATGGCCTCAGCCCTGCTCACAGCAACCTCATACTCCTGGGTTCAAGCCATTTTCCTGCCCAGCCTCCTGAGTAGCTGGGACTATAGGAATCCATCATTATGCCAGGCTAGTTTTTCTACTTTAATAGAGATGGGGTCTTGCTCTTGCTCAGACTGTTCTTAAACTCCTGAGCTCAAGGGGGTCTTCCTGCCTCAGCCTCCCAGAATGCTGGGATTACAGGTGTGAGCCACTTTGCTCAGCTAAAAGATGATCCTATTTTGATTAAGCTACTGTTGGTTGAATTTTCTCACAAATGTGTCCAACCTAATTAGAATGGACAGATACATCCTCTGGAAGGATACTATATTTACTTGTGTGGGCAAAGAGAAATAAGAGAGGACATCTTGGGAAAACACTTTGCAAACAATGAAATGTCACATTAATGTAACAGTTCTGTGAGAGTCTGGGCTCAGGGACTGTTGCTTTGAGGCACTAAAGAGATTGGGTGACACAGCCATGCAGTGGGTCATTCTCATCCTCTGCCATCTGCTTTCCTGAGGGCTGAGGATGGTCATTTCTGCGGACAGCTAGGCTTGGCCTGGCAGCATTCATCAGCCATGAGATTCTTGGCAGGAGCGGGGGAGAGAACAGAGTCTATGAGGAGGCTGCTCCTGAGAACTGGGACCCTGGAGTGAGAATCTGAGCTACAGGTGGTGACGGGGAAGGTCTCAAAGCGCTGGTACAAGTCAGAGGCATTAAGACTTCAATCTGTGACTCTTGGGCTTTTGGGAACAGATAACTCAGTCATATGGTACATGATGCGCAAAAGGCATCTACAGTAGAAAGGGCCAGCCTGGGGCCTGGGGCCACACACCGATGACTTGAGAACTGTGTTCTTTATCCGTGGTGTCTAATATCATGAAAAGTATGCACTGACCTTTTATTTATTTATTATTGCTTATTAGCTGTTTTTAGTGTTTGTGTATTTAACATGTGGCCCAAGACAACTCTTAATCTTCCAATTTGTGGTAATGAACCAAAAAGGTTGGGTATCCCTGACCTAAAGTGATCAGAGGAGAAAGACTTGCCTTCCTGGAGAAGAGAGGAGAGCCACGATCATCCTTGGTTCTCCACACTGGCCAAGAAATCCACCTGCCCTTGCAGAGGAAAGGCATATTCCTGTGATAGAAGTTTCATCTCTGAGACATTACTGGTCACAGCAGTCAGGGGCCTGGAGGTGACTGCATAGATCTCTTTGGTGACATCCTCGACAAGTCACCATCTAGTCTCTGATTGTGCTTCAATGGTGATGTACAATTCACTGACCCCTTAAAGAGACTGATCTACTTTTGAACATGTTTCTTTTCTCCTTGTTATAAGGAGAAATCTAAAATCTATAAGCTTTATAAAGCATAAACTATAAACTTATAAGGCTTTTCTTTATGGTAAGTCAGAAAGAGCTTCCACTCGTGGGAACCAGACGTCTTCCTGCTTCCTGACTGTGAGCCTGCCCTTATGGCATGGGCACACGGCTCTCAGATGCTCCTGCAAGTCTTCTATGGAGAAGGAAGCACGTACAAAACCACAAAACCTAGATCTTAAAATCAGGTTTGAGACAAAATATTAGCATTATCTTTCTAATAGATATGTGACTTTGCTAATCTGCTTAACTTTTTTGAACCTATTTCATTTTCTATAAATGGAAATAATGATTTCCAACTCATGGAATTGTTTTAGGAATGATGATAATGAAAATAACAGCTAACCCTGGCTGTCTGCTGTACGTTAGGTGTGTAACTTGTTTCACATACTCCTAAGAAGAATCCCATGAAGTAGGTATCATTTTACCCCCTTTTTCAGGTAAAGAAATGATGCAAAATTGTGTAGTAGCTGCTGGCGGCCACACAGCTGCATTTAGTTGCTGTCCCATATAGCCTTCCCATCAGCGTGAGCTGCCAGACAGGGCCCGGCAACCTGATCCTGCTTAGTGCCAGTGCTCAGATAAGACCAAGGCTTTGGGGGAAGTAAGGCCACAGAAAGTAACGGAGCTAATGGGTATCAGTGTCAAGTACAGAGCTTGACACACCAGTACATCTGAGTTCATTTTGCCTTCCCTCTTCTTCAGCGTAAGAAGTCACAATTGGCCTAACAATTTTCAATACGTATAGTTTGAAATTTCCTCTTCATCCTGATTCTTTTCTCTAGTTGTGTCATTTGTTATTTGTGTGGTACCCACACTGAACTTAATACCCCACATACAGTAATCTCCCTGTTATGTGGCACCCATGGAAATTGGCAGGTTCTGGATAAATGCAGTTTCCTCTTACATCAATTAAAAGCAAATTAAGACAAATAAGGACCAAGTTCACTTACCTTAACACAGTTTGACTGTATTATAACACAGCTCTGTAGATGTAGTGTACAATTTCAGTTAAATGGCAGTCAATACATTTTTCAACTTCACTACTGTATTTTTTTTTAACTTCAAGGAACACACATTAACTCTTAAACCTTACAGAGACACACAGAAGCTGTGGAGTGATGCACCAAGCATCAGCTTAGTGACTCACAGTGCACCAAGTTCAAACTCTTTTTGAATTCTGGATAGTGGGGGGTTCACAGTATGATCCATCTAGTCTCAGCACCACTGTGTCTTCTCCCTGATTTTGGAAGTGAGTATTCTCAATGTATCCAAGTTCACTTCAGCTTCTGGGGCGGCACCTGTCACACGTATGCCACAGATGCTTTGTCTCTGTTTGCCTGGCTGCTTCCTTCTTAAATCACAGTATCACACCTTAGCATATTTTAGTACAGGCCTCTTAGAAAGCAACTTGGCAATATATATCAAGTATATTTAAAAATGCATATTTCTCTGGCTATTATCCAAAAGATGAGAGATAACAAATATTGCCCAAGGCATGGAGGAAAGGACACTGTTGGTGGGATCTAGATTGGTGGAGTCATTATGGAAAAGAGTACCAAGCTTCCTAAAGAAATTAAGATTAGAACTACCTCACGGCACAGCAATTTCCTTTGGGCGTATATCCACAGCAAAGGGAGTCGTGACCTAGTGAACAGATCTGCACCTCCATGTCCATCACAGTAGTCAAGATGCGGACACAACCTAAGTGTCTATTGATGGATAAATGAGTAAAGAAACTGATGCACACACAGGCACCGAGGGGACATTTGCAGCCACAGAAATGAGATCCCGCCATTTTCTACAACACAGATAAACTCAGAGGACATCAGGCAGGGACAGAAAAAAATATTGGATGATCTCACTTACATGTGGAATCTTTTAAAAAAGCCAAACACACAGGTACAGAACCAAACAGTGCTGACCAGGGGCCAGGGTGGGGAGGGAAATGGGAGACAGGTCACAGGGCGCCAGCCTCTGCTATGTTGGCAGCAAGTCAAGAGCTCCACGCACAATGGGAAAGCTGTAGTTGGCCATATTGTCTTGTAGTTGGGATTTTTGCTTCATGAGTAAATTTTAGCTGCTCTTGCCACACACAGAAAGGTGACAAGAGGTGACACTGTGTGAATTTGCTTCACTCAAGCAACCATTTTATATCTCTATGCACCTCAAGGCATCACCTGGGATACCTTAAACATAAGTAAAACTTTTAAAATACATATCTTTTGATGCAGATTTTGAGAATTTACCAGATTGGAAGTTTTCCTAAATGCTGAAAAAAAATTATAGTTAAAATACTCATTATTTGCGTAGCAAAAATTTGGAAATAGCCAATGTCCCATTTCAGGGAACTAGCAGAGCTAGCAGAGCACAGGAGGGAGCTCAGCTCAGGGAAAACCAGCTATTGCTTCGTTATCCTTACTTTGGGGGTTTTTTATTTGCTTTGTATGTTACTATACACCTCACACGAACTGTATTCACAAAGGTTTATACACAGTACCATTGAACTTGAAAGCTAGCATGAAATAAATTACTGCTGGCTGTGCACAACGAGTTCCAAACTGTTGACAGAGCTTATCTTGGTGCGTGTGTGTGTCGAGGGGGTCTTGACAAAGACAGGCAGGACGCCGGCCTGTCCGGGCCTCCCCGTCTGCCGGGCTGCCCAGGGCCGACACCTCAGCTCCGCGGACTGGCGACCGGAGACTTTCGCTTTTCCTGCCGCTCCTCTTCCTCTAGAACGTGAACTTCCCGGGACGGTTTTTCCCATCCTCAGCCTTTCCTGGGGTCGCAGTGTCAGGGCTGGCAAAGACAAGGCGTGAAGAGGGTGGGGGACGCCGGGCCTGCACCCTTCCCCTGCCCCCGTGCAGCGCTCAGGCGGCGTCGCCCCAGAGGACGCGGCTCTCTCATTTTGCAAGTAAGGACATTAAAGGTGCTGTTGCCTGGAATTTATCAGATATAGAAAGAAAAACTTGCTAAAGACTGATGGGAAAAGCCAGAAGCCAATTTATTAACTTTCTGTGAGTGGTAAGTGCATGAGTTAATAAGTGGGCCAAAATACTCTGGTCAGCCGGGTGTCCCCTGGACTCCCCAGCAGGGACGTCTGCCCTGTCCCAGGGCGCTGGGCTCGCAGCCCAGCCTGGCCCCGGGCGCCGTTCCTGCTCCTGCTGTTACTTCTTCAAGCGTGAAGCCCGCCCTCTGTTCTTCGTTCAGGTTCAGACTGTCCAGGGCTGGGCTCCTTCTCTCTGGGTCTGCTTTTACGGTTTCGTGTTGGGGCTTCCAGTCCTGGAAGACAACTTCAGTAGATACCTAATCCCATTTATTAAAAAGTGATTTTGCTAGTTTGACTTTCAGGGATTAACTTTATCTGTAACATCTGGATATCTGGGAGCAACTTCCTATAGCCCCAAGTACGCTGAGAAAG